TAGGTAGGGTATTCCTTTAGTTAATTGCTTAGCCCTTATCCCTCGCAAGGACCTTGAGGGGTAGACCATTTCTCTTCCCCACCTATCTAAGGCTCACCATGTACAATAATGAAGATTTTATACCCTTAGTAGTGGCATCAAGGCTTTCCCCTTCGTCAACTAGCCATCTAAATTTGACTTCTATGTTTCCTGACCCCTGCCTCTCCTTTGATCGTGGTTTCAACCCCTGATATTAATACCCCCTCCTAGATGCTCACTGTCACCTCTATCCATTCCAAATAATCCACCCAGGTTATTACCTTCAGAATACACTCCTTCCTCTCTCTCAACATCTTCCACTCCATCTCCTCCTCCTGCACAGTCTTCTTCATTGTCTGCCCCCTCTCCCCTTATTTGTACTCTTCATCTTTTTTGTTCTCCTCCTCACTGTACTACCTCATTCCACACCACTCCCTCTTCCTCCCTCCCTTGTCCTTGAACTGCTTCCATCCCTGTAATTATTTTGAGTACTCTTTTTAGTCCAGTCAAGATCAGTCCTCTGCATGAATGATTGTTCTGATCATTCATGCATTGTAATAAACAATTTGATCCATAGGCTTTACTACCATTACGTAGTTAAAATATGGGTATCAGGTTTACTTGAGTGCCCAGGCTGCTGGTTGTGCAGCCCGTAGACCAGGCGCACATGAACAAAAGTGTGCAGTAACAAGAATCCATGCCTTGCCTTTGCAATGCTATTTTCTCTTTCTGCATAATGTTTTTTGCCATTTACCAATATCTGGATAAAGCAAATCAAATGACAAATAGTCTGTTTTCCTTGCATGGATCATATCATCTTTCTAGGGAGTCCATAATATTAGTAATCAGAAGTAACACTTTGTTATTTGTCCTTTTTTTTCCTCTCTCAGGCAAGAATTGGACCTTGAGCATGGAAATAGTGCCTTCCCTGGAGCTGACACTCTTCCAGTCATGGCTAATAGATGGTACATTCCACATTCGTTTATCAATGGAAATAATGCAAAATCACCCTTCTAAATGCCCAGTCTAATCACTCAACCAAATTTTCCTATGATGGCATGTTCACATCATCGGCCCCACAAGTCATGTCATTCATGTAATATTACGGAGAGATGGAGAATAAAGCTAAGGTAGTAATAAGGGAGGTTGGGGTGTTTGATGAAGAAGGTTGTAGGGGTAGAGTTGATGAATTTGAGGAAGTCGGGAGGGTAGGGATGTCTTCTGGATATTGAGTTGCTGCTTGGGTGGGTAATGCACTAGTAGGCATTGAGGAGTGGGTAGTAGTTTCAGTGTTTGGAGTCGTGGTCAAAGGAGAGGTTGGGGTCGGGGAGCCGGTGGGGCTATTTGATAAAGGGGCAAGCCTCATTGCCCCTACAAGAGGTATTACATCTTCATTACTGGCCATGGGAAGCCTTGATTATGTAAAGAGAAATAAGCAGTCCCCCCCCCCCCCCAGAGCCCTGTACGGGGGTAAAAGCTAGACAACTAAATCGGGAGTACCGTGCCCATGGTTCCCATAGGCCGTTCAGGACTGGCACAAGGTCAGCCTTTCATCCTTTCAGCACGGCTCTTACACTTTAGGAAGTAGATAGTAGAAGGGATTGGAGAAGGGCTGGAAACAAAAAGCTGGAGGGGGAAAAGACCATGCAAAATTAGTTGAGTTGAGGGCTGAGGCCCTAGACAGGGAAGATCCCTACATTGGGTGTCAGTCTCCGTCTCCTAAGCCCCCCCACGACAACAATGGGCAAGGGATTGGGGGTGTTTTAATGTTTAATATCTTGTGTAGATGGTGGGGGAGCAGAGTGTAGGACTGTATTGGAATAAGTTGAGAGAGAAAAACCTGATTGTCATGCTTCCTGCCTGGCCTCACGTAGAGCAAGGCCTAGTTTAAATCTGAGGACTGTTACCTCACATTCAAACTAGCAGGGCAGCTCCAATAAAACACATTATAAGAGTCTCCACAGTTGGCACATGTACGTGACTGAGAAGGGCAATTTGAACGGTCATGACAAGGTTGGGCACATAAAGGGCAGCGGACTGTGGAGCAACAATGTTTGGCTGGGTGGCCAAAACGCCAACATTTTTGACATTGACAAGGAAGGGGTTGATATTGTCGGACATGATAAGACAATCCACCATTATAAACCTCATAGCAGAGGTCTTGTCTATGGAAACTAATCTTGACAATATTGACGTGAGATTTACGTTGGCCTCTAGGAGGAAGAGTGTAACACTCTATTGCCACTGCATCATATTCATCAAGGCAGGAAAGTAGGTCATTTTCACAGTCTGGCTATTCCTTGTTATACATGGGACAAGCATTTGGGAGAATAGAAACAGTTCCTGTACAAGTATTAAAAGTTGGGTGAGGTTCGGCAGGAATGGGTTTGCCTTTAAGGTCAGTTAGGGCAGATAGTGCACAAACTTGAGCTTCAGATGTAACCATGACAAGCCGTGAACGATCAGAGTGTAACCTTGCCTACTTATTTCTGGAGGCACTACTGAAAGAGAAGGGTATTCTCCAAATAGGGACCTGTGGGGAGAATCACAAGGAATCGCTCCCACTTGGCTGGGCCAAATAGAGTACCCAGGTTTGCAGAGGTAGAGGTAGTAGAAAGACGATGGCAAGAGGAATATGGGGTGGTGTGAAGTGGAGTAGTTCTGTAGGGGGAAGGACAATAAGTATGAAGAGTAATAATAATGGAAGAGTGGGTTGATATTGAAGAGGATTGTGTAGTAGTGGATGAAGAGGAGAATGTTGGGGATGAGGAAAAGATGTTTTCTAGGGGTTGAGTAATAACCTGGGTGGGTGTTTCAGAATGGTGAGAATTGTTCATAAGCATCGAAGAGGGGGTATTAGCATCAGTGGTCGGAGCTGTGGTCAAAGGAGAGGCAGGGGTCGGAAAACCATCAAAATCAAATTCAGATAGGCTATTTGGTGAAGGGGCAAGTCTTAATGCCTATATTAAGGGTTAGGAATCTTCATTATTGGCCATGATGAGCCTGAAAATTAAAGGGGATTAACTGTCCACCCCTCAGTGGCCCACCAGGGGTAAGGGCTAAACAATTACTGAGGGAATACCGTGGCCATGGCTCCCTGAGGCCGTTTATGACTGGCACAAAGTCAGCCTTTCATTCTTTCAACAAAGCTCTCACATTTTAGGAATTGGATAGAGGAAGCAGTAAGGAAAAAAGGAAAGATTGAGTTGTTCATGCAAAATTAGTTGAGTCAGGGGCTGAGGCCCAGGGTAGAGATGATCCCTATATTGGGTCTCAGTGTCCGTCCCCTAAGCCCCCCCACGACAACAACAGGCAAGGAATTGGGGGGTTTTACATTCAAAGTAATTGCTGATATCCACCCTGCTCCTCATGTTCTCCCTATCCCTCATAACCCTGCTCGCTCTCAACACACGCAATCCTCTTCTTTCCCTATATCCTCACTGCTCCCAGCTGGATGCTTGTAGGACTCCCCTATGTCATAACATTGTCCTTCTCTGGATCCTTCTCCTAACGTTCTTCCTGATACTTCACCAACTTCCCTGGTTCCCTTATCTCATTCTTGGGATTCTTCTACTTTTCCCAATTGATTCCTTCATATTGGCTCCATTGCATTGTTCCTCATACAATGTTACTCTTCCTTCCTCAGATGTAGATACTATCCATTTGATCTAATTGCCTTAACACCATTACTCCCTTAGCCTTCTTTACCCTTTTCACTAACCTACTATCCAATAGCACTCTACAACTTTAGGATAAAACTTGTTAGGTATCTAATCATTAACTCATTTTTACCTCTTTTTGCTACAATACTTTACAATAGTGCTAGATGTTCTTTGTTGTCTGATACATGTACTTGTTCTAACCATTAACCATCTCAAGTGTGCTCTCATGCAAAAAAGTCCCTTTTAATTGCTGCAGTAGAATCTAATTTTTGTATTTCTATTTGTATAGTCAGTATTGAACAGAGGATATATTACAGTACTCAAAATCAAACTTTGGAATTATTTAATTCCTTGTTTGCAGTTGGGTAATCTGTTAATGAAAATTGTTCTTCACAGTCTAATACTGCACAAGCAAACTGATGTATAACTTTATATTTTGTTCTTTTATCTTTTTATGCCGAGACAAAAAAATATTGCATTTATGGAAAAGAACACAAGTAAATATACAGTATATTTATTAACAATAATTATCATAGATATTTGTAGTGGCAAGTTTGATTTGTATTAAGCATAAATGATATATATACAAAAGCATTTCTGTGTAATACCAAATAAGTTTCCATTATTATTGCATATTAGTATATTTGCAAAAAGGGCAGTTATACCTGCTTTCTAGTTTTTAAAGATGCATGTTAACTGCTGAAGACCACATGAATATGTCTAGGTGTCAACTAATGTAACACCTCTTCAGTCCAACCTCAGTACTTAAATAAGCTGCTCGTGTAACTGCTGCATGTTTTATTCTGCAAGCAATTATTTTTTTGTGTGTGTTTTATATCTTTAACAGCTGATTCTTGACCTTCATTACATAGAATCCATAAATCCCAAATGAGATCCAATAATGTCAGCTGTAGTGAGAGTTCATATATTTTAAATATATTATTCCCTAGGATTTGTTAGAAATATGTATAAAAAACAATGTATAAAAAATAAACATACAATAGCACCTACATAACAAAATTTGTCTACACCCCACACAGCATGTCACAAAATTAAAGCTTACATGTCTTTTAGACTTATTTATCCATGGCTACAAAAACAGCAAGAAGCCTTTGTCTTTTTTACTACTATCCCCATTTTTGTAAGCAAAATAAAATTCAGCTTGACCTTTTTATATTTATTACTTACAAAAGAGCTCTATGAAAATAAATTTATTATATTACAACTTCACCATGCAGTCTCATCCTCCTCCAGGCACCCCAAACTTCCTGGTAATATTTTCAGGATTAATTCAACTTCCTTTACCAGTCCTGAAGGGGATCAAACGGGCTGATTTTCTGGGCAATGTCCTTACCAAATTAAGATTTAGAAAGCCAGAACTTCCACAGCTTGCTCATATTTTCAGCCTTTTGATCTTGAGTTAGATTTCATCCATTGATGTAGATAGTAAACACGAATCACTTACATCTGAAAAAAAAAGGAATAAATTAAATCTAACCCACTAACGATGGGTGTCCCATATATGAGACACCTTAAAAAATAAACATTGCCAGGCATCCCGCCAGTGTGATGCTGTATTGGGGCTCACGCTCCGACACAGCAGTGGGCGGGCAGAGTCCGGGGCAGCCTCTCCCACCAATTTTGTAGCTGCCTGGAATCTTTTATTTTCGGCTTCAAAATATACCCGCATTAATGGGTTAAATACATACTTAGCACACAAAAGAAAAGGTCCGTATTGTCAATAATTGTAAATAAAATCACCCCATTCAGGAACATCCCTCCAAGAATAAAATGGAGTTCCAAAATGCAATGTAATGCCAAAAAAACATGAGGATTAAGTCACCTCTGAGCTGTTAAGCCCCAGTTTTACATCTCCATGTCCCTACAGAAACAAAGAGCCTTGTTAATGGTGTACTGGCCACGTAGGTCATAAATAACTAGCATCCCTAAGATCCCTTTAATGTAGTTACCTATAGTTTGTAAAAGAAAGGAGAAAGAGAATAAAGAAGAGGAAGAGAGAAGAAAAGACACAAGAAAAAACAACATATAAAAAAGAAAGAATGAGAAAGAAAGAAAGAAAAAAAAAAAAAAAAAATCAAGGAATGCGTAATGTCCAGACAGGGTCAATAACAGTCACCTTGATGACTGGGCACAGTTCGCACAACAAAATTATGTTGAACAGGACATGCTGCCAGCAGTAGCGAGTTATGAGACATGAACTTTACACTAATTAATTTAATTATATCTATAAATAGCATCTTCACAAAACTATAATATCCCTAAATGCCTTGGAAATTCCATGAATAGAGAGGGAAGACAAAAATGAAGGACTACATTTCATCTGTCATTTTTATAAGAAACAAGTACTGTATATCATGTCTCTCTAGGTCAATGATGCAACATCATGTATACCATTCTGACTTCAAAGATTCCTCACAACTGGAAAACTTATAAAGTCAAGTATTACAAATCACTCTAAATTCCTGAACCATTCTCTTTGGTTTTAACTTTGTCAAGAGTATTTTTTGGTTTCACTCCTGATTTTGTTAATTACCAACTTTTATTATGCAACAGACCAGCTTTGAGGCATCCATTAAGCTTGCATTAAAAAATCATGCTCTTTTTCCAAATCTGTGTAGACAGTTTTCATAAAAAAAAGAAATTAACTTCTTTTTTTTTATAGTATGAATGATTTCACACAATTTACTGGTTTCATAGTTTTCAATCAGTTGAAAAATAGAAAAAATCTACATCTTAAGAGTAATCAAAAACAAAATTAAATAAATATACATAGATTACTTTACCTCTCATCTTGTAATCTTTATTATAGTTCGTATAATTCATCAACTTTCAACATCTTTAGTAATATCCATTAGAATTCTAAAGCAGTTACACTTACCGAGAATCCCAGGGCATTCAGCTGACGTGCGATTCTGGAAGACAGAGAAGACATCTGACAGCCGCCTATTGCTGCCAACACTCATTCTCCCTGTGCTTGCCAATGACTGCCGTCTTGTTGAAATGCTCTCTGTCGAAAGGTTTTTTTGTCATTACATACTTTAATATAATGTCCTGAAACTCTTTTCTGATGGCACTTCACCAAATGACAAATCTCATTTACAAATAATTTCTAAATGTTCAGGACACATCCCTGCATATATAGTCTACAACAAAACTGTCGCTCAGGTGTCAGGTGTTGCAGGAGTGCCAGTGGCTTACCTAAGTCCCTTAATTCATATCTACTACAACATAAAAACAATGGAGAGAGCACTAGAGCGAGAGAGAATTCTTTCATAACTTTACCTCTCCTGGCTTCTGCCTTAGCCCCTTCTTCCCTTAAGATGGAGGACTTGGCCTCTCCAACAAGAATTGCATCAGTAAGTGTGTCAAAGACAGAATCTTCTGAAAGGTAAGATGATCGCCTGCCGGGTGTCTTGAAAAGCATCTTCTCAATATCTCGGGAATTTGTGAATATTTCTTTCTCCAGTGTTTCTTCAAAGATCTGTGAAAATAAATATTAATGACACTTTGCTGTTTCTTGCTTTACATAATATTCTTTTCCATTGCTGTGTGCATCATGAGACCTTTCCCTTTTCTATAAAAATAAAACACAATGCCTACCTTACTCTCACAGCAACTTCCAGTAAGTGTGTCTTCATCATCGTCATCATCACCAAGGAGGTCTTGCATTCTTGTCATGTTATTTAAAAAGTCTGTCTTATTGTCAGTAAGAATCTTATCAGCTGTTTCTTTTACTGAGGATCTTTCATTCCAGGTCATTGCATCACTCTGTGGTTCCTTCTTGTCAGTGTTTATCTCTATGTCTTTTGTAAGACTCAACAAATGCTTGCTCTCGCTACCACTGTTAATTTGGTTCTTCTCTGCTTTCAGTTTTTCTACATAAGATAAGAAATTGGACTTAGATCCCACTCTAGGTCTGCTTTCCTTTATCCCTTCTGCTTCTTGGTGGACTTGCTTCATCTTCTGCATTTGTTCTATCAGACTGCAGAGGTTTGTCTTTGCATGGTGTCGAAGCTCCACTATGGCAGCTCCCCGGCTGGTTTCTGTACTATCAGGTATCTTCTGTCTGGTGTCTCTGGATGCCTCCTGCAGCTCCAGTCCCGAGAACTTTGCTAATATCTTTGATCCTTGAGGAATTGCGGCACTTCTCACTGGACTCTGAGTCAACAGAGACATCCTTGTCATGAGATCCTTTGGGACCTCCTGGGCATTCTCCTCTTTTTTGTCTAGAGATAAGGATGCTAGCAGCTGCCTGGAAACATCAGTATTCTTCCCTACAGCTGCTTGTTTCTGGATGGGTGTCTTGAAAGGATCTCTCGTTGGTGTCCCAACTGGTGTACAATTATTAGTGGCTGGCTGTCCACATGGTGTAAAATCAATCAGTTTTATTACTTGTAAATTTGCTGGTTGTGTTACTTCACTGCCTTTTGAAATATCTGGAGTCTCTGTGTAAGAATTTGACAGCTGAGAGGTAATGGAGCGGAAGGGTGTGCCATACTTCTTTGCAGATCCTGGTCTGTTTTGAGGAAGTTTGCTCTCACTTTTCTTCCTTGGAGTTATGCTCATCTTCTCGATAGCATCCAGCAACGTCTCTGAGCTAGAACCTTCAGCACAACCTAAAAAGAATCATTCAGTTAATTTCATTTCCAAAACATCTTAAAGATATATCTAATAACTTTTCCTTCCTGTAAATTAAACATTTGGATATACTTTGCAAACTTACTCATATCATGCCAACCTATCAAACAGACACGACACTGAATGAGTTGAATTGCAACAGTCACTATCATATTGAACGTTGTAACATACCTCTATTCTGTCCACAAGATACCCAAGTTTGGTGTTATTCAATAAATAAAACTTATTCTATCTACTTCTGCATTTTTTTCTCAAATGTTTCTAATGCAGTTTACCTCTGCTTTTCTTAGTAGTTGTTTTTTTTTCTTTTTTGTGATATGGCATGTACAGTGGTTTTAAGTTCTTCTCATCTATTATACACAGAAGAAACTGATATAAATCCTTGAAGCATCCACACCTATTTGGGTTTTACTTGATCAGATTCGCTTTGGACAGAAATTGCCCACCTCTTCTGCTTTTGAAGAGAAGCATGTCATTCATTCTGTCTAATTTTACCCACATGCACTGGATACATGCACTGTCCACTGGAGTTTTCTTTTGTCACTTTCATTTACACACAAGCTCTTGCTAGCCCATATGATCCAACAGGTGTATCCTATTCCCGAGTTTTCTTTTATATCTTTTACACTAGCATAACTATTGTTACCAAGGGCATAATCATTACTAACATTATTACAATCTTATCAACAATAATAATAGCTGTAAAAATAACATCTGAAAATTCAAAGAACAGCACAGATAGCTGAGATCAGGCAATCAGAATTCCTTCCTGGATGATCAAGCACTTCAAAAAGGATCTATGAGTAAAAAAAAAAAAAAAAAAAAAAAAAAAAACACTATCAAAATCACAGTGGACAGGGCATAAATACATGCCCTCCTAGCACTGATAGGTTAGAAATGCCACACGCTCTCAACACGTACCAGAATCCAGTGCTGAGCCTTCCTTGGAGTTTGCACAACTAAGAGACTCGGCCATTAGCTCTGCAGCACCACTGTCATTGTCATCAGTAGCAACCACCTCTGCCAGCTGAAAAGAAAATATTTATGCATTCTGATCCAACTCTCACCATATATAGATTTCTTTTCTTTTTTTTAATAAGGCACAAGAAAGAAAGAAAAAAAGAGAGGAGAGAGGGGCACAAGAAAGAGAGGGAAAGAGAGGGAGAGAGGGCACAAGAAAGAAAGGGATAGAGGGTGAGTGGCAGAGAGAAAGAAAGAGAGGGAAAGGGAGAGAGGGCACAAGAACGCAAGAGGAAAGAGAGGCAAGAAAGAATGAAAGAGAGGAGAGAGGGCACAAGAAAGAAGAGAGGGAGAAGGGGCACAAGAAAAAAGAGGAAAGAGAGGGAGAGGCACAAGAAAGAAAGAGGGAAAGAGAGGGAGAGAGGCACAAGAAAGAAAGAGGGAAAGAGAGGGCAAGAAAGAAGAGGGCACAAAAAGAAAGAGCACAAGAAAGAAAGAGAAGAGAGGAGAGAGGGCACAGAAAGAAAGAGAGGAGAGAGGGCACAGGAAAGAAAGATGGAAAGAGAGGAGAGAGGGCACAAGAAAGAAAGAGAGGGAGCGAGGAGCACAAGAAAAAAAAAAAAGGGAAAAGGAAGGTGAGAGGCAAGAAAGAGAGGGAGGGCAAGAAAAAAGAGGAAAAGGAGAGGCCAGAGAGGCAAGAGACAAAGAGGCAAGAAAGGGGAGAGGCAAGAGAGAAAGGGCAAGAGAGAGATGTGGTAGTTTGGAAGAGAAACGAAAAGGGTGACAAAAAGATGTATTCAGTAAACTCAGAGACGGAACCACTCACTCTATTTATCAGTGAACTGTCAAGATCCTCTCCATAATCTGGACCAGCAGCCAATCCATTTCCATTCTTCATATTTGTTTCCTTCAGGTTCATTTCCACTTGGGCAAGGACTTTCTTGGTCCCACGATTGCTACAATCTGAGAGAGCATTGTTCTCCAGTGGTTTCTTGTTCTCTTTGGGAATTTTTGTTCTTTTGGGGATCACTGTTTTCTTCCCTGTTTATATATGAAGGAAGTTATACATCACATTTAGTAGGAGTAGGACAATTGTTAAAAATATCATCAACATTAAACATGTTTGTACAAACCATGATATTTCCATACTATGTTATAACTGTTACATAAACATCTCACCATTTTTCTTATTTAATAAAGCCATTGTGAGATTTTTAAATTTTTCAAAGCCTCTTACCCTCCCTGTTTTTCTGCGGTTGGTACTTTTCCAGCAGGGCCTCCAGCTCCTCCTGCTTCTTCCTCTGGTAGCGCACCCGACAATCCACTGTCAGCATCTCTACTGGCAGCCCTTCCTCTGCCTCGGCAACTTTAGCTTCTTCCCCAGCTACAATCTGGTAACAACACAAAAGGGAAAGTTTTGAAGAAAATGGTATTTCTGTCTGGGAATTAAAGTTCTTTTTTCTTTACTGAAACAACAGAGCAAGAATTCACAGTTGCCACTCACCAAGACCGAGTCATCTTTGTGAGTTTCCGAGGAATAAAGAACACTGGCCTTGGGTGACCTTCTGGCAGCTCGTGTCATAGTATGGGTGGAGAGCATCCTGCTAGGAGTGGTATTAGCCTCCTTCTGGGGCCCTCTTGCATGAGGTTTGTGCACACCTGTAAATTGCATACAAGTATACTGGGTGACAAACAACAAGGAACACTGTCAATTCTTTCAATTTCACCATTATATACATTCCTGACACTCCTACGGTTTTGCAAATCCTTTTTTATCTACAATCTATCTTAGGCAAATTCTTGCTAATGATCCCAACTGCTGATAGTGTCACATGACTAAACCAACAAGTGACATGAAGGCCATTTCCAATACAGGAGGCACTGCCACAGGCCTGACTAACCAGGGGTGAGCATCAGAGGAGCATACTTGGGCCCCCCATTGGCCACCACAGGAGTGTTGACGAGACACAGAGGTGGTGTCGGAGGACAGAGGTTGGGCTTTCCATCTGGAATTGTGATTTAATGAAAACCGGTGAACTAGGAATTCTGATATACATTTAAGGATTCTTTTCAGAAGGTATGTAAGACTATGTAACAAATACAATATATACATAAAATACTGTCCTCATTTAAGCATGTGTGTGTGCGTGCGTGTGCGTGTGTGTGCGTGTGCGTGTGCGTGTGCCTGTGTACATATGTTGTGGTCAATTCCAAGAGGAAAACTGTCACATTATCACTGAATTCAAATACTTTAATCACAATATGAGAATATACATGTGCAAACATAAGTTTATTTAGGTTCATACACGTCCAGTACCAATACACCAGCATTCTGGTATTTTGAAACTGTACCTAGTTGATTACACCAGTACTGCACCAATACAGCGTACTGGTATGCAGCTCTATATACAACACAAACAAAAACATGTCCTATAAGAGAGACTCCTGACTCACTCCATACTCACCTTGCTCAATACTCTCCAGAGTGGGGACGGGCAGCGTGATATGCTGACGGTGCACTGCAACGGACTCCATTAACTCGGGCAAGAGTGTATTCAACTTAGTTGTAAGTTGATCCACAGTCTCATTCCAGCTAGCGACACGACCCATCAGGACATTCAACTCCTCTGTTGATTCTGTAATGATAGTGTGCCTTGAGGTTCTAATCTATCAGCTCACTGGTTTCATGAACAGAAATTCAATTTACAAGTCAATTTCTTGAAAGGTAAATGTATCTATATCAATATTAACAAATTGCTTATCATCACTCTCTTCAACAGCGCTAAACTAGAAAGTTTACTGATTAATGCTACTTATGTTTCCCCATTAAAAAGGAAATGTGCAAATGCATTTAGCACAAACTTGCATTCAAAGGCATTACAAAGGTATATCAAAACACAAAGGAAAAAAAATACAGAACTGAAGAGAAGCAGTAGTGGCCCTTACCAGGTTTGGCCTGTGAGTGTGTTTTCTGGACAATTTGAAGAAGGGACTTCAGAGCTAAGTTGGCATACTGAACCAGACTCAGCAAGTCTAGTTTATCTTCTTGATACAAGCCCTGCAATCCTAGCTAAAAAAGCACATAAAACAAAATTATTACAAAATGGTTATATCATACTTGATACACTCCTTGAAAAAGTACACAAACAAAAATAATGGCTTACTACTAAATGGTCATGTATTTCTTATCCACTTTGTAAA